TGTGCATTATAATGTAAGCTCTGTATGCATACTAATTAAACTATATTAGACACAGTATATTGTACTTACATGTAATTGCATGCCACTGAAGCCAGCCACGGCTTATAACCTACCTAGTGCCTACAAGAATACCTACCAAAGAACTTACAAGAAAGTCTACAAATGCGGTTTCGGGGATTCGAACCCGGACCTTCTTGCCTCAAGGCCGGGCCCACCCCCGTAACCACTAGGCCACCGCGCGCTTGCGCAACAGCATGTGATTTTTTCGCCTACACATACTAACTGTCATTACAATACTGCATTATATACAGTGTAAATGCCTTATAGCCATGTACTGTGAACTTGGACACTTATTATCTTCTTTGTTAACTTATGCTAGCAACCACAAAGGATTCTTGTGAAGTTTAAAAGTTCCTGGGTACTCTCTCTAGAAGGCTCTTAAAGGTTTCTTCTGCTAATGTTGGTATTATAACCTTGAAAAGTTAAAAACTGAAAAGGAAAGGAACTCTCTGTGTTGCGTGGGAGCATACTGGGTTGCCGTGGGAGAGCTATTCCCACGTGGGTGTACATCTATGATCTCTGATAATGGAGGAAGAAGAAGCTCTCGATGATTCCTCTCCTCACGGAGCTGCTCATCCACTAGTCATAGCCAGGAATAGTCTGGAGGGTCAGTTTAAAAGCTTAGACGTTGATGGAACCAGTTTCAACTCTATATTCGAGGCGGACCCTGAAACTTGTGTCCGCTCTCTGGATGACCCCTGGCAAGCTACTGCTCTGAAGAAGAGGCTCAGGACTGCCGAGAAGGACTGGATTAAAAGCTTCTTGGACGCAGGAGGATTGGAGGCGCTGTGGACTATGCTAGACTCGTGTATCCCTAATGAAGAAGGCGTGATAATAGGAGATGCCCAACAGCAAGGCCTGCTAAGATGTGTTGAATGCATTAGGACTCTCCTCTCCTCACCAGATGCTCTAGACACGCTGGTTATTGGAGCCACACCAAACAAATATATCGAGAGGCTTTTAAAAGGTATATAATTGACATGATACTGTTGTTTTTGTATCGTTGTTTTTGTGCTGTTGTTTTTGTGCTGTTGTTTTTGTGCTGTTGTGCATGAGAGATTGTTGTTTATCATTCCTGTGGTGGGTTTAGGATACTTTTTAATTGTTAATGTACTGGTTTGATTTCTTTTGTGGTATTTTCTTGTAGTAATGCACCTGCCAATGTCAGTGGATAGTGCGTTCATTAAGATATATTGCCTACTCATTCTCAGTGCTATATCGAGACACTCAGATGAAGGATTCAGAGCTACCATTAAAGCATTTGACAATCACAAGGTACCGTACAAGATGATTTATTGGCGAGGAATTAATATTGGCGATTGGCGAGGAATTAATATTGGCGATTGGCAGCTCTATGAAGAATCACCAATATGAAATCCGCCATTTTGTTTTAATTTGAGCATGCTCAGTAGCACATGGCATAAAATAGCCAATACAAAATCTGCCAATTTCTTTCCACATGCAAATTCGCCAAAATATTACTCCTGCCAATAAATCATCTTGTACAGTATGTACATTATCATTTAACTATTTGCAAATGATTATAGCAGTTTTGCCTTTGGCTATAAGCTTTTAGTTTAATAGCATTGTCTAGGGATGCTATAATACAATTACTATTTTGTCTTTATGCCCCTAATTATGTTATTTGATATTTTGTGAAGATTCAAGTAGATCAAATGTACAGTATAATGATAATGTCTTTGTCTAATTATGTACAATGATCACTCTCTTGTTACAGATTCAGTATCAGCTGCGTCACAGGTTCAGCCTGTTAGTGTACGAGTTGAGGAGTCCCCTATCTCCACCGGAGTATCAAGCAATGATAATGGCCTTCATTAATTACCTCATTGCATCTTGTGATGACATCACTGAGAGATTTCAGCTAAGGAGTGCTTTCAATGGTAAGGATAATTTACATGTATATTCGAGTGACTTTAAAAATTCATTAAAAAATCAAATTTGATCGGAATCAGCTTAAACTTTCTATGCAACATAAATACATGCATTATTCATCAGAAAAAATTATAAAAGTGGAGAAATCTCTCCTTTTCAATTATAGTGAAATTTGGCCCTATTTCTAAGTAACTTTAAAAATTTGTAAAAATTCAATTTTGATTGGAATCACCTTATAAAGTTGAAGCACCTTGTTTCTGTAGTAATTGACAGATGTTTTACATTAAAATTACATTTTTTTCTCATTAAAATAGCTCTGCAGCTACCAGATATCATACAAGAGATATGGTTAGTATTACACGTACAATAACTAATCTTTTTCTATTGAGAGTATGACTACTCTTTTATAGCGACACAAGTGAGCTGCCTCCGTCCTTACTCCAACAGTTAAAGATCTATCACCTGAAACAAGAGAAGGATAACAGCTTGGCTGAAATTCCAGGTGGTGTTGATCTTAATAATCACAATGATGTCTACAGAGTTGTATTTGAAAAGGTATACAGATAATCTATTATAACTGTGTATTGATTATTTTTTCCAATTCTTTCTTTTATGTTGTTTTTTCTCCATAGTTCTTCAATACTGAGCATTCTGGTTCATTCCTTGGTGTACTCCAGAAGCTCCTTATATTAGAGAGGGACTCACCGCGGACTGGAGCAGTCTTCCAGTCTTTGGAGAGCTTTCTTGACAGGGCACTTGCCATGACTGACCCAGTGCAAGTGGAAAGGGCTCGCAGGGTAATAGAAATATTATTATTATTATTATTATTATTATTATTATTATTATTAAAATATATTGTTTTATATTGTTTTTATTTTTTATAGGTGACTGTGGAAGAGCTTAAGAAAGCTATTGAAAATGAAGAAAAACGTAAAAAAGAAAAGACTCCTCCCATTGCCCCAAAAAATTCAAAATCTCCTGAAGCTTCTCCATCTTCAGCTCCTCCTCCTCCTACTCCTGAAGCCCCTCCCCCTCCTCCTGCCCCTGGAGCCCCTCCCCCTCCTCCTGCCCCTGGAGCCCCTCCCCCTCCTCCTGTCCCTGGAGCCCCTCCCCCTCCTCCTGCCCCTGGAGTCCCTCCCCCTCCTCCTGCCCCTGGAGCCCCTCCCCCTCCTCCTGCCCCTGGAGCCCCTCCCCCTCCCCCTCCTCCTGCCCCTGGAGCCCCTCCTCCTCCTGGTATTCAATCAGGTAAATGATATTTCAGTATCATAATGTTTATGATGATGCATGCAGATTCAAGTTCTAAATTTTGGGGTGTTGCTAAGGTCGTTTTGAGTTTGTTTCAAAAAGCAAGACAAATGAAACCGTCAGTCAAAATGAAAAGGGTCAACTGGAAAAAGGTACGTATCTTTATTTACTAGTTCCTTTCCTCTAATGGATTGTAGGTGCCAGAGAAAGTAGCAAGGGACAGCAAGGCACTGTGGCACATTGAAGATAGCATTAAGTTTCCATTTGATGTTGATATTATCAAGGAAAGCGTTGAAAAGTTCTTTCATAATGAATTCAAGACCATAACACTGGAAGAAAAGGATGGGCCCAAACAAGTGAGAGCTTATAATTGTGACAAAAAAATTATTAATCATAACTATACAACTAATATGCGCATCATTATTAATCAGCCATGAATGTCTCACTATCTTACATTTGTTTAGGTTGAATTAGATCAGCAAACTCAAATGAATGTCAGTATCATACTCAATGACTTTAAGAGGTACAGTATACAAGGAGCTGTGATTCTATTGTGTCTTTTCTTGTCATTCAGTATTTCTACTATCCTTATTTGTGAAATGATTGAAGTTGGACTCTCTCATCCACAGCAGAAGCTTGCTGCTCATCATTTCGATACAATAGAGAAAGCATTAACAAAGAAAGAAGTATATACTTATGATCATCTTTTGTCATTCTCTTCTCTTCTCTCTTTCTCCATCTGTCCTTCTCTTAGGCTCAGACTCTAAGTGAGTTTGATGGTGAAGAGGAGTCACTGGGGAAATCCGAGAGATTCATATACAGGATCTCTCAGATCCCATGGTATGATAAATCTGTTCAAGCCCTTGCATATACTGATGATGTTTGTGTAGGTGTCTTTTTAGAGTCAAAGTCATGAAATTCCAGTTAACGTTTGATGAGTCGATACAGCACTTATCTCAACTTCTGGACCTGATTAAGCTTGGACTTGATGGTATGTTTATAATTGCATTTTTCTGTCACTACTAATTACTATGATTATACTTGTCATCATTTTTGTCACTGAAATTTGAGCTGTAGCTAGCTATAATTATAACACGAAGCGGTTTTTATTTCTCTCTTTCTCTTCCACTAAGAGTTAGTAAAATCAGAATCACTAAGAGAAGTCTTCTTTACTATTCTACTTATTGGAAACATCATAAATGGAGTAAGACTCCCAGCACACAAAATAAGATTGTTAATGTCATTTCCAAACAGAACAATAATCAAGGGAAAGCGTTTGGATTCACCATTCCATCCCTGGAACAGTTCACTGCCCTTGTGGCCAATGTCAATACCAAAGGAACCAACTTCATACATTACCTTGTTACTGTAAGCACAACACACATGACAGTAAACTTTTAATAACAGCCACTTTAGTTCAAGCAGTATATATTTGGAGGTATCCTTTATCAAAAAGAGTCTTAGTACAATGTATATTGCTTTGCAAATAAATGATATGCTAGCTTGTGTTTAAGGATGCTTTCTATAAAAGGAATGAGTCAATGGATAGAAGCTTTATGTGTAGTTAACCTGTAAAATATCACTAGTAATTAGTTAAGTAACTTCATGACTTAAAGGGTGGGGTTGCATTATTATTTTAAGCCTAGCTGATGTCACTTCCCTTGTAATGCTAATTTGTTGTTTTAAATGCATTGAAATGTTATGAATTGTACTAATAATAGTATACTTATGTGCATGTTATGAGTTGCTCTTGTAATGTTACTAGTAGAAGTCCACTTAACCTCATTAGGGATTGTTATGCATGTCATCAGTACATTCATGGTATAGTACAATTTGTGAGCTAATATTAGCATAAGACTTAGAGTCAAGATGTCTAGATATGTACTATTTCATCCGTTTTCAAAGGAGCTTTACTCCTTGTGTAGTATGTATAGGTGGGTGGTGTATCCTTGTCATTAAGACTGCATCCCATCTACACTCATTATTGAACATACTCATTAGTGAATACCCTCATTATAGAACATACTGACTTGTTATTGAATTTTATTGTTATGTTAATATCACTACGTGTCATTATAGGTTATAGAGAATTATTTGCCTCATTTACTTGATTTCCCTTCAGAGATGCCCCATCTTCAAGAGCTGAGCCGGTAAGCCTGTGATATTAAAAATGAATATCCACTGCGAGTGTCAGTAAACACTTCCCATTAATAAATCAAATTTGCCAGTTTAAAATGATTAGACTCTAGTACATTACTATATTTATTGTACTGTGAGTAGCACGTATTAAGTACTTGACTTGTTAGGATCATAATTAGATTTTCCTTGTTGTTATCCTTAATCCTAATAAAGTATCTCTATACATTATACACTTGATATAACATGCTGTAATTATTATATCATTATTATTTTTTATTCTTTAGTATACCATTTAAAGATGTTGAGAAAGAGGTTAGTCTCCTCAGAGAGGAACTCAATGGATATAAAGCAAATCTTGAAGATGGTGGACCTCCTGATGACCTTGCTGAGCAAATGACAGTATTCATTCCTGTATGAGCTGCACTTATATGGACACACATAAATATACATTACTCTTTTTAATATAAAATTATTTCATTGTATCTTTACCTACAGAATGCCGACAATGTTCTACGTAAACTTGAAACCAAAGTCGAGTCAGTGAGGACCAAAACCTCTTCTGTCTCTGAGTATTTCTGTGATGAGAGGCCAGACTTTATTAACAAGGTTTTTGAGGAGTTGTGGAATTTTGTTGAAGTGTTTCAGAAGTGTATAAAAGTAAGGAAATACCAGTCATGCGATACCTAATTACCCTCCAAAGTGACACATTCATATATGTACATTTATGATTATCGTGTTAGTGTGTTATGTGTGTTATGCGTATTGATATGTATAGTATTTCACACTCCATTTAATAAGGAGACATTACAATTCCTTTTTAGTGCAAGCCCATCAGTGGGTCGTTTCATTCCTACGAGCACTTTAGATGTAATTAATTGAGTTATTCCCCTCGTGGCAATAGCTTTCTATGTTTGCTGCTGCACTAGCCAAGTGTTCTCCTAGAACATCAACAATTCCACTGAAAATTGAAATTAACAAAGTTTACTACTGCACACAGGCAGCTGTGTACACTTATGAAAATTTAATGGGCATTTTGGGAAAACAGTGTACGCAATGTATAGAGCATATTGTTTACTGAAATAATGTATAATTTATAATAACGACATCTGCTATAGTGAATGTGTTTGTTAATAATGGTTTATAGTTGAATCTTCACTTATGTGGTCATCCTTCTTGATCCTGTAGGATGTCTCACAGACTAAACCCATTCCATCATTAACTGCTCCAAAAGAGCCGGAGCCTATCAAATCTATACCGGAGGAGGCCGAACCAACACACACCAAGGCTGCCATCAACGCTATTACTCAGGACGACTTTGACATTATCACTCCAACAAGCCAGCCTCATCATGTTCATTTGTATTCTCCTCCCTCGTTTAGACTCGAGTCTCTTGGCGAAGACGATGAATACGAGGAGCAGCAACCAAAAACCCTCTCTCACTCCATGACGCAGCCAGGGTACCTTAACCCACTTGGTGCTACTGGCCCAGTAGGGTATAGCAGATTGCTAAGTGTTGGTGCACCTAGATCATTGAAACGCAAACAAGCGTCACTTGGTGATGTTCCTCACGGGCAGGGACCTGGTGGATTCTACCGCTCTATATCGGTCCAACCTCTTGCTAAATTTAATACCATATATGGTAGCAATAAACACGATTTGGAGAAAGTGCTCTTTAGAATGGCCGACGCCATAAAGAAGGATTTACAATTGCAATGAGCAAGTTATATATGGAACTAAATTTGAGTCTATCTATTAGTTTTTATAATCGCATGAAAATTTTCTAAGTTATATGATTATTTCTTTCATTTTTATATTTCAACACTATAGTTTCAAACTTAATGCCTTAGATTCGTGTACTCGTGACTTGGGATGTATAATGATGTATTGTTTTCATATGACTAGGTGGAGAAATAATTGTAGTAATTATGCACCTTTCAAATATTCATTAGGCTCTATTTTCACTTATTCCTTAGTTGGGTTTAGTGTTACACGACACCACATTGATGCTTTATCAGTTGACTTTCGCACTAATTGTAAAATTTAAGGGCGTGGCTCGAACTTTTTATGCATGCTCGGCGTGCCTGTCAAACAGATAAGATTATCATGACAAACTTCAAGAAAGCTCTGTGCTGGGAGCTCCATATATCAAGGTTTTCCTTCTATTATCACGAATGGAGAGCATTTTATTACACTCCTGTAAGTGGTTCAATTGTCTTGCTAATAATATTATCTATTACTGGTTTTGTTTTCATGATTTTAGTGGCTACCACAGAAAATTTCTTTCCAATGGATATACCTTCTCTACAAGTGGCTCTTGACTATTTTCTTTAGTTTTTACGTTTTTTTCTCTTTCGGAAGGTCTGAAGAGTATTTCTTCATCTACCTGACATATTGGGGTGTGCTAGTATTAGCAGTCTACCTTTTATTCAGCAGCATTATCATCACTATCCACTACATGAAGCCCTGCTTCTGCAAGAAATACAAAACAAGTGAAGAAGACCCTTTTGTATTCTACAAACTTCCTGAAAGGCCTCAAGGTTGCTGCGGACTGATGCACAATACCCTAAAATGGTATAATTACATCCAGTGGCTTCTCTTTACAATATCAAGTGGCCTGGCAGTGGGCATAACAATCCTGTACTGGGCTTTCATTCACACGTCAAAGACAGATCACTGGGACATTGCCCTCCACCTTCTCAACGGCGTAGCAGCAATTCTCGAGGTCTGGGTAACCAGAATACCTGTTAGGATCTATCATGCTGCATACATTGTTTCTGTTTCAGCTTTTTATGTCCTTTTCACTGCTGTATACTATGGCTCTGGTGGTGGAAATGGCGTCAATAATGCATCTTATATCTATACTCCCCTTGACTATGAGAGTGCTCCAGCCAGTGCTGCAGTATTTGCCATCTCTATTGTATTGATATTCTGCCCGACAGTCCATTTGTTCATTTATGCTAATTATTTGCTGAGAGAATGCATGCTTCGTTTTGTTGCAAAGAAGTGTAAATGGATTGTGTCTCATTAACTTTGACATCCTTGTTGTTTTATTTATTAATGTTTATTAAAGATAATAAAATTAATAGTTATAACTACTTGTAACAAGGTCTGCTGCAGCAAGTTGCTCTAACCTCAGTGTATAAGCACTTTTGTCATGAGTTTACTAAGAGGACTGAGATGGGAGCTCCATGTCTCGAATTTTTGCTTCTTTCACTACAACTGGAGAATTTTTATCTACACACCAGTAAGGCATGCATGCAGAGGAGTTGACAAATATATTAAGCAGAGAGTAATTTACACATCCCATAAGTGTAATGTATACAGTAAACTATATAGTTATAGCTAACCAGCTGTCATAGAATTTTTACTGGTATCTACATAAAATGCCTTTTATTCATTGTATAGATTATTGCCTTATTGGTCGCACAATTACTATTCAGTAGCACATTTGTAGATATTTGGCAGCTATAGCTGTAATTTTCATAGTAGATCAGTAATTCATGCTTCCTCTTTTTTTGTAGTGGCTACCACCAACTCTACATTTTCAGTGTATATATCTTGCATACAGATGGGTTCTTGCCATTTATTCATTTATTTACTTCATTTTGATCATTTACTATGTACGGGAGTATACGTTGGTTTACTTCACCAGTTGGAGTCAATACCTTTTCACATTCTATCAACTGTGGAGCAGCATATCAGTCACAGTGCACCACATGAAACTTGGCATTCCTTACTGCAAGAAGAAATGTAATAGTGAGAAGCGCAAGGTAGTTTCTTCTACAGACCTACCCTCTAAGCCAACTGGCTGCTGGTGCGGGCTGAAGTACAATGTCTTGAAATGGCACGAATGCATTCACTGGATCTCCTTTTTTCTTGCTGGAGAGGCTACATCAGGCCTTATTTTTCTATATTGGGTATTCATTTATAATCCTAAAAAGGGCATCGACCATTGGGAGATCAGCACACACCTTTTGAATGGATTACTAAGTTGGATTAATGTGTGGATCACACAAATCCCATTTCGAGCACACCATGTCATATATACCATCATTTATTCAGCAACGTATTGTACTTTTACAGGATTTTACTACGCAGCAGGTGGTGGAAATATTCAAAATAATGACAGATATATCTACTCTATCTTGGACTATGGAAATTACCCAGTTAAAGCAACCTTCTTCGTACTTGCTGCAGCTTTGATCTATGCTCCTTTGGTGCATCTATTCTTCTATGCTAACTATCTACTGAGAGAAGGCTTGATTCATGTTTTGGTTAAAAGAGGCTATTGCAAATGGCTCTTGGAGAAAGAGCTTGGAGAAGAGAATGAAATGGAACCTATTATACAGGAATAATTTATTTTGCATAATAATTAATTATTTTTGAATCACGTGATGCACAATGTCAATCAATATTCAATAATATTAACCTCGCCATAGACCACCATAAAAGTCTGTCTAGGACGATAAATTGTACAATGTCTGGAAGGGTAAAAGAGGTGAATTGGTTCAAAGCGTTGTGTTGGGAGCTCCACATATCTAGGATCTTTTTCTTTCATCACAACTGGAAGGCTTTTGCCTATACACCGGTGAGAACTAGACCCGCAACTGATTGGTGTCACTAAATTAATTTTTCTTTCTTTCCTAGTGGTTGCCTGATTCTGTCTACTGGCAGTGGATCTATCTCGTCTACAGGTGGATAACTTTTACCTTCTTTTTCATATACTTTATATGGAACCAGATCTCAGATGGAGGGATTACATATATCTACCTCACAACCTGGAGCCTAAACCTTCTCACCCTCTACCTCTTCTATGCCACCCTCTCTGTCACTGTATACTACATAAGACTCGCCCTGCCTATCGAGAGAATCAAGCGCAAGCCGATCAATCCTCCATCTCGTTGTGCTCTTCCTTCAAAACCGTACGGTCTTTGTAGCTATCGTACAAACACACTTGCTTGGTATGACATTATACATTGGTTCCTGTTCATCATTGGCCCTGGTATTTCCCTTGCTAGCATGGTCCTATTCTGGGCCGCCATTTACAGGGGAGGTCCCATATCACACTGGGACGTCGCTATACATCTTTTAAACGGGGTTTTTAGTGTCGTTGAGGTTTGGGTGGCGAGGATACCCATACGTGTCTATCATGCCTTGTATGCTGTTCTACTTGGATGTGTTTACGTTGTCTTCTCCGGAATCTATTTCTCTGCTGGGGGCGAGAATCAACAAGGCGATCCTTACATTTATAGTATCATTGATTACGGTAATTCGCCAGTTAATGCTACAATCACGGTTATGTCTATTGTAATGTTGTTTGCTCCTGCCGTCATACTTTTCTATTATGCCAATTATCTCCTGAGAGAGACTATACTCCGTACCCTTGCATATAAAGGAGTGTTCAAATGGCTCTGCAAGGAAGACAAGACTAAGTTTGACGATTTCAAGGAAACAGTCAACGCCTGAGGAAAGCAGGAAATGAACTGGTTACATTGTTTACAGTAAACCTACAACATCTTGTTAATTAATGCTATTTTTAGTTCAATAATAATAAAACATAATTAGATCTTTTTAGATGAATTATTGAGCCCCGCCCTTTAGCCTCTGCTGGCTTTATATGCTTGGTTGGCAGTGTTTGCATGCATTCCTTGGCTTTAATCTAAAAATGGACTGTCGGAAGATTGCTTGCTGGGAGTTTCACTTCTCGCGAGTTTGTCTGTCTCACCATAACTGGAAAGCATTTGCTTATACTCCAGTAAGCCAGTGCCATCATTTTGTATATATAAGGCTCAGATCTAATCAATTTTTTTGTAGTGGTTACCAGAAAGATTTTACTTTCAGCTAATCTATGTTGTTTACAAGTGGCTCGTAACTCTTTTCCACGTCATCTATGCTTTGCTCACCATTGAATCTGCGCAAGAGTTCATCTTTGTCTACCTGACCAATATTGGTTACATTTTGTTCACTTTCTATCTGCTTTGGAGCACCATCTCTGTCACATCTCGTTTCATTTGGTACTTGTCTCCATGCTGTAAGAAGGAACAGCCTACGACATTCATTGATCTTCCCTCAAAGCCTGCTGGATGCTGTGGATGGGTTCACAATACCCTCAAGTGGTATGACTACATACAATGGCTGCTGTTCACAATATCAATTGACATTGCCTTCTCTATTGTGGTATTATACTGGGCTTTGATTTACAGGTCGGATTACCCAGTAAGGCATTGGGATATCTCGCTACACTTGCTCAATGGCGTCTTTGCTTTCTTTGAAGTGTGGATCACTAGGACACCAGTACGACTTTATCATTTCATTTATATCATGATGGTTGGTATAGCTTATGTCTCATTCACTGGGATCTACTATGCTGCTGGTGGACGAGGTGCACGGAATACTTCTTACATTTATCCTGTGATTGACTATGAAAATGAACCTGCCACTGCAGCTGTGGTTTCGTGCATGGTGGCTTTTGTCTTTTTACCTCTTGTTCAGTTGTTCTTTTACATAAACTACCTTCTAAGAGAAGGTATATTATATGGCCTTGTCAAAAAAGGATTATGCAAGTGGCTAAAGAAGACATATGAGCAAGATAGTGCAGTTTTTAAGCGTAGAGTTGTCTAACTGGAATCTACTACTCTATTGATGCTATCATATCTCTATAGTGTCAACAATGGAATCTTCGATGCACATTTTTATAGTAATTATAGATCTATATCACTTTTATATAAACAGTATAGTCTAGTACAATTGTCTTAGGCCTTCCTACACATAAATTTTTTACATTGTCTCTTATAACTAATTCAGCATAAACGTCATCACGAATCAAGTCAGATCATGAAGAACAATGCAATGCAGTATCTTTGCCACGCCCTTGCTGATTGTCAAGCTGATCAAAGATGTCTTGTAAGAAGACTTTGTGGTGGGAGTTCCACATTTCCAGGCTCTTTTTCTGCCACCACAACTGGAAAGCATTTGCTTACACTCCTGTAAGAGACTTTGAAACCGACCGTGCAATGTTTATATCCTTTGTTTGTCTTTTTAGTGGCTCCCGCAAAACCCACATATCCAGTGGATTTTCATAGTCTACAAATGGCTCATGGCTCTCTTCTTCTCTTCACATTATTGCTGGGCGCTCATAAGGAACAAGGAGTACTTTTATATTTATCTGACCGATTGGGGCCTGACCTTGCTCACCCTTTACTTTATATGGAGCAGTATCAGTGTCACTGTCCGTTTTATGCAACAGAACTGCCCTCCTTGTTATGATTGCCCAAGAGATGAAGGATTGATAGATATGGAGTGTGAGCTAAGCCCAAGGCCTACTGGATGCTGTGGAAAAGCTCACAACTCTCTCCAATGGTACGAGATTGTTAATTGGTTCCTTTTTGTCATAGGTGCCGAGCTTGCTGTATCGATAACGTTCCTTTACTGGCCTTTGTTTTCCAACTTGGGCAAGGAAGAGTTGTTCAGTTACTTAAACATTGTGATGCATCTTCTCAATGGAGTGGCTGCCCTACTGGACTTATGGATCAGTAGAATCCCAGTACGTATCTACCATTTCATCTATTTGATGATCATCTCTGTCACTTATACCACTTTCTCTGGCGTCTACTTTGCTATTGGTGGAACAGATGGTCATAATCACACTTATATCTATCCACAACTAGATTATGGGAGCTCACCTGGTCCTGCTTCAGCCCTTGCTGTTGGAGGTGCATTGGTCTATGCCCCTTTCATTCATCTCTTCTTTTACTGCAATTATCTCTGCAGAGAAGGTCTGCTCTATTGCATACGCTATTGTAAGATTAAAATTGATCAGAGGAAAGGTTACACTGTCATGATTGATGGCTCTAATATTATCAGTGAGGACAGTGAAGAGAATGCTAATGTTGTTTGATTTTTGAAAGCTGACAGCTGTTTTAATTTGATGCTTAGTCTACTTGTGAATTTTTATTTTAAAAATTTATTTTTAAATATTAAAATAACAGCACAATAGGAGAATGGGGAAATTGTGGCTGCATACATTGTTTTATGTATCAATGCTTGTTCTAATCTATTTACATATCTCACGTGTTTGCACGTGGTTATAGTTTACGGCAAGAAAATACGGTTTTAGAATGCATTGAGCCTGAAGAAGAGGGTGTGAGAATGGACGAGAAGGAAAGCTTAGAATTAGGAGAAGATGCAGAGGAAAGTACTGAACCATTATTTGAGGAGAACAGGAAAAGATATTTGAGTGATGAAGAAACAGAGCCAACAGGTATGATAATAATAAATCAAAATATTAAATTATAATTGCTCTAAACTTTATTATAATCATAATAATTATTCCTTATAATTATTGTATAGAGCCTCAATCCAAGATTCAGCGTATAGAATACACTAATACTGGAGGAGCATACCCTTCAATGGATGATGACATCATTAGGGTTATTAATACCAGTGGGGACTGTATTTACTTACCAATAAAGAATGAACAACATTTACACAACAAGAAAGTAATAATAATAATGATAATAATATTTTAGTATTATATTCTGTATGTCCTATGCAGAATTTTAAAGCATTGAAGTCACAGCTTCTTTCCGTCCCTTTTAAAGAGCTATTGAGTTCAGTAGAAGAAAAGGTATTATCAAAATAAGTTTCACCTGGCTTGACCATTTACTATTGTTTTAGAGGTACAGCAGATTAATGGAAGCAGCTGATGCAGACTTTATAAAGTAAGCAACTGCACTTATCAAAGTAATTGTATCTCAGGCCAAATTTGGCCCAAATTAAAAAGGAGAGAATTTACCATTTTTATAATATTTTCTGATGCATATACATGTACTTATGTTGCTTAGAAAGTTTGAGTTGATTCCGATCAAATTTGGATTTTGTTTAAAATTGCTCAAAGATTAGGCCAAAGTCCCTGTACTATAGTGCAGGGACTTTGGCTAGATTTTGTATGTGTGTGGTCATTATGATTTGCGATGTGTTTTAGTGAAGAATATTCTATTGACCTAATGAAAGATGGATCAGAATCACTGCTGTGGGCCGACAAGTATTCTCCAAGAGAATATATACAACTACTCAGTGATGATGTAAGATTGAGAGAGAGAGGGAAGGATTTTAATGATAAACCAATCCATGTACATGTAAATTTATTTATTACAATTTGTTTATTATTGTTTTTGTTTGTTTTATAGAGTGTTAATCGCTCGTTGTTGTCGTGGCTTAAACTATGGGACGAGACCGTTTTTAGTAAACCATCTCACCTCAGAGACACTGTCAACATACAGTCAGGGAAAGACCCTAAGAAAACAAGAGGCAGAGGAGGAGAGAGAGGAAGAGGAAGGGGAGGAGGGCACGTTGGACATAAGCCGTGGGAGATTTACGATCCTAAGACATTTGCTACTAATGATGTTAGTGGGTGTGGTTAGTTATTAATAGTTATATTTTTTTATTAGGCACTAGATGAGCACCGCAGGCCGAAACAGAAGGTACTTTTGTTTTGATTGTTTAAATGTGCCACGTTTTAATTTCTAACTACATATACATATCGCCACCTCTCTCTCTCTCTCTCCCTCTCTCTCTCTCTCTAGATAGTTCTCTTGTGTGGTCCTCCTGGTATTGGTAAGACTACATTAGCTCATACTGTTGCCAGGCAGTGTGGATACAATATAGTGGAGGTTAATGCCAGGTAATAAGTCACTTTATCTTTTTTCTTCTTCACATACATTTACTGTCTCAGTGATGACAGAAGTGCCGATGTATTTCGTAAAATCCTCGAGTCTTCGACTGAAATGCAGTCGGTCCTCACCTCAAGCAGTAAACCAAATTGTTTGATCATTGATGAGATTGATGGAGCACCTGCTGTGAGTCCCTCCAATTTACACACACACACATCCTCCATGCTTACTCTTGTATAGGCTGCCATTAATGTACTGGTGGATGTTATAAAGACAAAGAATCCAACTAGAGGTATTTTATCAAAATTAATATTAATTTTGATTAAATAATCGATGTTCATAATCTTTATTAGGTAAAAAGTCCAGACCTCTTCTTTCACGGCCTGTCATTTGTATATGCAATGATTTGTAAGTGTACTCTTGGATTTTGTGTTTTTTAATTTAGTGCACAAATTTTGTATCTGTACACATTCCTTTTTCTTTTAAGATTCCATTTATGCAAAAAAAGATGCTATACCCCCATTCCATAAGAGCATCAATATAGCTCATATTATTAAATCGTGTACATGATGTATACAGTATATGTATTGGCAGGTATGCTACTTCCCTGAGGACCTTGAAGCAGCTTGCTGTAGTCTTCACAGTCCCCATTACTGTCACTGGTAAACTAGCCAACAGGCTGATGGATGTGAGACCATATTGTACTCTTTTTATAACCTAATGGCCTCTTTTTTGTAGGTGTGTAGGAGAGAAGGAATATCAACTACCACTTCAACACTAATGGCGCTCTGTGAGAAAACAGACAATGATATTAGAACCTGCTTGAATACGCTACAGGTAACCCATATAGACTCTTTCTTACTTTGCTTTCTCCTTCTCTTCCTCTCTTGTTCCTCTTACTCTGTTTCTTATTAGTTTATTCATCGTAAAAGGGCTGATATTTCCCTGTCAGCGGTACAGGCGATGTCAGTGGGGCAGAAAGACTCACAGAGAAGCCTTCTTTATTTCTGGAAAGAAGTCTTCAAGCTACCTTCTGCCAAAAAGCAAGTTAACCATGTACATGTTTTTACCTTATATATGAAGTTTGAGCTGATTCTTAATTTTAAGAATTTTTAAAGTTGCTCAAAAGACCATGTTCTATAGTACAGGGTATTTTGTCAAAAATGACTAGGAGAGAATTCTCTATTTTTATAATTTTTTTTCTGATGGATATACTCGTCTTTTATGTTACATGGAAAGTTTGAGCTGATTCCGATCAAAATTGGATTTTAAAAAGAATTATTTTCCATTTTAAATTGTTTCTTCATTTATAGATACACTTACATTGGTAGTGGTATGAGCTCAGACAATGATCGTAAGATGTACATCAGCACAATGAATGTGTATTTATTATTTATTTTATAATTTAGGTAGAAGTAATGAGAATGTTCAGTTTAACAGATTCTGGCATATTTTATCTGAAGCCTCAAGCACAGGAGAGTACGAGAGAGTTATGCAAGGTCTAATGCTTCATGTCATCATGCTTGTATTCCTCCATCTATCATCTCTTGTTCTTCTCCTTTCTTTCTCTCTCTGCTCTCTCTTTCTTTCTTTTATTTTCTTGTTTCTCTTCTCTTTATGATCAACCTTTTAATACTTGCTTTATTATCATTGGACTCTCTCTTCACTTGATCTACTCTAGGACTTTTTGAGAACTATCTCAATGTGAAGATAAGAGATCCAGGAATGGCAATAGTAAGTGCTAACGTGTCATGCAATACTTTGGTAGTAATAGATACTAGCCACTTCCTGCCACAGGGCTATGAATATCATTACAGTAGTGCAAACTGGGGCACCCATCATAGCCTGAACTAGTTTTGTTGGTATATAAGCCTGGGCAAAAGTGGTGTAGGTCAACTCTGGTCTTCCCTCAGATCGAATAAATCTTTCGCCTTTTACTAAAGATTTCCGTGGGGGAGGACACATGATGAGTCTATAAATAATTTTTTTACTGGCCTCTTCACGGAGGCCTAGTTTTTATAATTTATATGAAACATTAATGTGCACACATAATACTGTATTGAAATGACAGTACTGTATGTACTATTGGCAGAGGTTGTATGGGGTAGTACAGTTTGGTCAGTAGTCTCTCTGTGTACTGTCTTTTATCTATGGGCTTAGATGTGAGGGGGCCATAACACAATTTTAAGAAGTTACAGTGTAATAGGGGGCCATTACAGAATTTTAAAAAGTTACAGTATAAGAGGGGGCCATAGCACAATTTTAAAAAGTTACAGTGTAATAGGGGGCCATAATAGAATTTTAAAAAGTTACAGTGTAATAGGGGGCCATAATAGAATTTTAAAAAGTTACAGAATAAGAAGGGGCCATAGCAAAATTTTAAAAAGTTACAGTATAAGAGGGGGCCATAACAGAATTATAAAAGTTACAATTTGCACATACTGTAGTTATTATACTAAATGGTGTACTATTGTAGGTAGCAGAGACTCAGGATTGGATCATGTTCTATCAGTCGTTGTCTTCAGCAATGCTCTCATCTCAAGTCTTCCAGTTAATGGCGTACATGCCTTTTGTATCGGTCGTCTTTCACTTCTTTTATGCTGTCTCTGTCACCGGCTACCGTGTCCAATACCCTCACACACAATTCGAAGTAAAAGAGAGAGAGAGAGAGGAGAAATATACTAGATAAGGTTAATGTGCTTTTATCTTCTCTCTCTCTCTCTCTCTCTCTCTAGAATAATCAGAAGTATCAGCGATACAGTCAGTTAGTTTCTCAGCTGCTGGTTGATTCTCATCCTCTTGTGAAACGTGATATCGACCCATATAGCTCCGCTGTGTATTTCATTCCGACATTACTGGATGTCATCAGACCCAACTTAAGACCAGTGAGCTTTCAAACATTTCATTTTTATTTGCTTTCTATGTAACCTAATGGTATTCAAAAGTGAAACAAAATGGAGGATATTTTGGAAATAATGCTTGATTTCAGCATGCACCCATACTGAAACTTGTATAATAAAGAGCAGTTAATGTTGCTTTTATTTTTGTTTTCATTGTGAAAGTGTGTGTTGTTCTTTAGGTCAATATCCAGTTGTACACTCAGTCTGAAAAGTCACTATTGTCTGACATAGTCAATACAATGATCTCGTATAATTTAACTTATATTCAAGAGAGAACACCAGATGGACAATATACTTATAATCTTGAACCGTAAGATGCCATCCCCTCCCATTTTATAGACTTCTCTCTCTCTCCTCCTCCTCCTCTTTCTCTCTCTTTTAGTGATCTTGGTGACCTGTGTCAGTTCCCAGGGTTACCTCAAAAGAAACAGCTGCAGTATGGTACTAAACAAATGCTAGCCAGAGAAGTGAGTAGTTCGTATGTACATTTAGCCTAGCTTACACGTCATGTGTTCTCTAGATTGAAGTAGCTAAAGTGAAAAGACATGCTAAATCTGAAGCTCCAACAGTAGCAGCGCCTGTAAAAACCACCCCCAGCAGCAAGTTAGGATAGAGAGAGAGAGAGAGAGCAGTAATGGATTGAGTGAGAGGTTTGTCTTTGTTCCTTTCTTAGGTTATCAATAGCTGCTTCTGTTCCTCAAAGAAAAAAGGTACAATGAATGTATCATAGTCAATAATATTCATGAATATGTACATAGACATATGGTATTAGCTAGCTCTATTCTTTTAATTTTAGGTTGCACGGGATTTCTTTGGACGACCAATCACAAAGAGAGCAAGAGAGGAGGGGGAGGGAGAGGCCAAAGAGGCTGCTAATGATAGTCGTACCTCAGCTGCAGTTTGGTTTAAATTTAACGAGGGTTTTTCGGATGCTATAAAGAAAACTGTCCGAATGAAAGATCTGTTATAATGATAATAATATAATAATAATAAATAAATAAAAATGATGATAATAATAATAAGATTCATTAGTATTCACAGAGCTGATGGTATGTGGTTACTGTGATTTGATTGCAGAGATTGCCCGCCAAAACAAACCACTCCTCTTTTTCTTAATTTCTTGTCTGTCAAGATGATGATGGCTGCTGAGAATGGAAGTGCGAGTGTCATTTCTGACGATCATTTGAAGAAGTTGGTCGATTCTTGCAAAAGAAACAAGCAAGACAGGTCGCTCACTGAGCTGGCCAAAGACAGAGAGGGACGGTAAGAAAGAAAGGCCAAGAACAAAATGAAGAATTATATACTTTACGAAGCAACCCTTATTGTATTATGTAATACCTTTTTTGTCACAGAGTGTTCGTCAATAGAAGTATTTCTATGGATAAGATAAAATATATTGGATTTGACATGGATCACACTTTAGTAGGTGAGTATGTTCATAATTTCTATTATTTTTGTACTTTATATATTATATATAATATATATATATATAATATGTTATAATAAATTATATTTATATTTTATTTTTAGTATATAGATCACCAGAATATGACAAGCTAGCATATCAGCTAGCCGTACAAAGGCTAGTGTCCATTGGTTACCCCAGGGTATGTGAGAATGATCATATGAACCTGTTGTATCTTCTTTTCTACTTCTCTCTCTCTCTCTCTCTCTCTCATAAGTCGATTGAAAATATTATTTATGATGAAGTGTTTGCCTTAAGGTATTTCAAGATAATTACAGTTTTAAATTATTCTGTTTCTTCATTCCCTTCTCTTATATATATATATATCTTATATCTTATTTCTCCTTTCTGTCTCTCTCTTATTTTCTAGGGGCCTGTTCTTTGATAGAAGATATGGTAACATTCTAAAAGTTAGTTCCTCCATTAAAGCGTGTCCATCTTAACGTGTCCATATATTTATATCTTTTTGCTCATGCAGTTGGACTCCTTTGGTAATATCCTATCGTGTTATCATGGCTTCTCTGCTTTATCTGTGTTAGTTTTTAAAATTGTTTACACATACACACACTCACTGTAGTAGTATATAGTATATACTAGACTCATTTTGATTGTTAATTTTAGCATCATAAGGTCACTAGTGTGATCCTTTGTTATTTTATGACAGGTCAGAGATAAGGAACTATTATCCTAATAAATATGTCCAGGTAAGCCATATCAACACATACCAGTCATATCATTATCCTTCTGGTATTGTTATAATCACATTTTTGGTATCATGTGTCATTCTTGAATTATGCGTATGACATATCTTAGGTCAATCATGATAGACTATTCAGTTTAGAAACGTTATTCCACACACCTGGTAAGCAGAGAAAGACTTGACTCAAAATGTAGTTCCTTTTCCTTCATCTTGCTTCCCCCTCTCTCTCTCTTTCCTCCTTCTCTGCCTTGTTTCTTCTCTTCTTTATATAGAAACTTTCTTACTCTCTGCTTTGGTTCATTTCTTTGATGCTCATCCTCAATACACGAGGTACATCAACTTCATTCATTCATGACAATATACACATGTGGTGTCCTTTTGTGTCTTCATTACATTCACCTTTTATAGGATAGAGGAAGGGTCTGATCAGTACACTGGAGTTAAGAATGGCGACGTTATCATTACCTACAGGATGATACAGCAAGATGTACGTACTGCCATTGACTGGGCACATATCGAGGTATCTTTATGAAGAAATTCAATGTCTTTATGTTATTCATGATGTTAAGCTACTGTATTTTGAAGAAATGTTAATATGCATCAATGTATCTCTCTGTCTCTTGTAATCTTGCAATCTTTCTATATCTCCCCCTCCCTCTCTCTCTCTTCCCTAGGGTGATCTAAAGAAACTCACGCTTGAAAACCTTCCACTCTACGTGAAGAGAGACCCCAGACTGCCACGCTGCATAGAAAGGTCAGTAATGGAGGGCTACAATGTACTTGTACAAGTGTATTGATGACAGATCCTTTTACCATAGAGTGTGTGTGTGTTATTTGATACATTTATAATATAGGTTACGCCAGTCTGGCAAGAAGCTATTCATAGCTACTAACAGCGGGTATGAGTACACTTCCAAGATAATGAGCTATTTGTTTCAACTACCTGATGTAAGGAGCATATCTATAATCTCTATTTTATCTTCTTTATCATATACCTCTTTCTTATTTTATTTGTCCTCTTTCTCATTTTATTTGTCTCTAATGTCTTCTCTTCTTTTCTCTCTTTCCCTCTTCTTTCTCTCTCACCCTATCTCCTTAGGTCACTAGGGAATGGAAGACTTATTTTGATTATATTATCGTTGATGCTAAAAAGCCGCTGTTCTTTCAGGAGGGAAGCATGCTAAGGGAAGTTGATGAGGTATAGACGTTGATTTGTGAAATACTACATTGTATATTGATTTAAAGATTATATTTAGATAATATTAATTATTAGATAATATTAATTATTAAGATATATTTATCATTAAGCATTAATTGTGTGTTACTATAGAGTACTGGTTCACTGAGGTTGGGTCGGTTTGCTGGTGAACTTACTCCTGGAAAAGTATTCTCTGGAGGTATGCAAGTATATTCATGGGTTTGTGTGTAATGTAGTTATAATTATCATGATATCTGTGGTGTTATTACAATTTGTGTTTAGTGTAAGTAAAATTATCATAATAAAATCTGTAGTGCTGTTACAATATTTCCTCTCCCTCTACTTCCATTCTTTCTCCTCCCTCTCTCTCTCCTCCCTCTCTCCCTCTCTCTCTCCTGTTTAGGTTCATCTGATGCCTTCTGTAAGATAGCAGGAGCTCAGGGAAAGGTTTGTGCTTGTGTCCCCTCCCCCCTCTCTCTCTCCCTCCCTCCCTCTTTGTCTTGTTTTGGTTTGTGGTTTAGGCTTCCATTTCAACCTGGCACAATATTATGCCTACAATGTATTGATAATACCTTGATCCCATATATTATCAATAACAATGGAGGCTTATTTGTCATTTATTGTCTTGCATGTTTAGAGCCACCATTATACCTTTTGACTATTACATGTAATAAAAGTTTGGCAGATTATGGTAACTGAACTGGCAATTGTACTCTTCACTATATCCTCTATGTACTACATGAATCTATTCAATTCTTTGTAATGGCATTTGGTATATTCTACATGAAAGGAGACTATTGGCACTCCATTGCTTGTTCATGTATCATCAAAGTCAAATTTTTGTTTTGATTCTTTAGGAAGTTTTGTATGTTGGTGACCATATTTTTGGTGATATTATCAAGTCAAAGAAGGAGCAGGCATTCAGGTGCCCAAGCAAATAATGTAGACATTTATTTGTCCTCTCTCTCTCTCTCTCTCTCTCTCTCAGAACCTTCTTAGTTATACCGGAGCTAATCACTGAGATAACTACATTTGAAAATGCAAAAGGTGCAGCTGCTTTTGCATCTGCTAATAATTATTAATTATGTTATCATTATTAATTTGTAAGGATTATTAACACGGATACAAAACCTTGAGTTTCTACTATCGGAGATGTACCATGACGAGAGATCAAGGTAATAATAATAATAATAATAATGATAATAATAATAATAATAATAATAATAATAATAATAATAATAATAATAATAATAATAATAATAATAATAATACTGGTAGTATACTTCACCATGTACTGTCCTTCATAATCCACATGTAGTGTTAAGGAAAGTGTTCAAGACTTACCAAGCATAGATGCCATTAGGACAGCAATTAGGGTACAGGCAATGAGTTACATACAGTGAGTGTATGATGGCTTTATTTTATTGCTTTAGGATACCTCACAAATGATAGAAGATTCTTATCCACACTCACTTGGGAGTCTACTGAGATGTGGTTAGTTCAGTTACCCTCGCTCTCTCTCAGTCTTTCAGAGTGTCCCCATAATCAATGGACAAAATGCAGCATAAATAGCTGATATTTTTTTAAAGTTGTGAACATTTTTAAAACGGGTCATTTTTTGAAAAATACCCAAGGCTATAGCCCATGGTTTTTTCCAAAAAATGGCTCCGAAATCACACCCAATTTTTATTAAATTTTCTGATACATATTGATGTACTTATGACGTGTAGAAAGTTTGAGTCGATTCCGATAAAAATTTTTCAAGTTATGATCATTTTTAAAAACGGGTCATTTTTTGAAAAATACCCAAGGCTATAGCCCATGGTTTTTTCAAAAAAATGGCTCCGAAATCACACCCAATTTTTATTAAATTTTTTGATACATATTGACGTCCTTATGCTGTGTAGAAAGTTTGAGTCAATTCCGATAAAAATTTTTTGAGTTATGATCATTTTTAAAAATGGGCCATTTTTTGAAAAATACCCAAGGCTATAGCCCATGGTTTTTTCCAAAAAATGGCTCCGAAATCACACCCAATTTTTATTAAATTTTCTGATACATATTGATGTACTTATGACGTGTAGAAAGTTTGAGTCGATTCCGATAAAAATTTTTCAAGTTATGATCATTTTTTAAAATTGGCCATTTTTTGAAAAATACCCAAGGCTATAGCCCATGGTTTTTTCAAAAAAATGGCTCCGAAATCACACCCATTTTTTATTAAATTTTCTGATCCATATTGACGTCCTTATGCTGTGTAGAAAGTTTGAGTCAATTCCGATAAAAATTTTTTGAGTTATGATCATTTTTAAAAATGGGCCATTTTTTGAAAAATACCCAAGGCTATAGCCCATGGTTTTTTCCAAAAAATGGCTCCGAAATCACACCCAATTTTTATTAAATTTTCTGATACATATTGATGTACTTATGACGTGTAGAAAGTTTGAGTCGATTCCGATAAAAATTTTTCAAGTTATGATCATTTTTTTAAATTGGCCATTTTTTGAAAAATACCCAAGGCTATAGTCCATGGTTTTTTTCCAAGGCTATAGCCCATGGTTTTTTCAAAAAAATGGCTCCGAAATCACACCCATTTTTTATTAAATTTTTTGATACATATTGACGTCCTTATGCTATGTAGAAAGTTTGAGTCAATTCCGATAAAAATTTTTTGAGTTATTGTCATTTTTTAAAATGGGTCATTTTTGAGAAAATACCCAAGGCTATAGTCCATGGTTTTTTTCCAAAAAATGGCTCCGAAATCACCTCCAATTTTTATTAAATTTTTTTATACATATTGACGTCTTTATGCTATATAGAAAGTTTGAGTCGATTCCGATAAAAATTTTTCAAGTTATGGTCATTTTTAAAACGAGCCATTTTTTGAAAAATACCCAAGGCTATAATGGTTTTTTCCAAAAAATGGCTCCGAGATCACCCCCAATTTTTATTAAATTTTCTGATACATATTGACGTCCTTATGCTATATAGAAAGTTTGAGTCGATTCCGATAAAAAATTTTTGAGTTATGATCATTTTTAAAAACGGGTCATTTTTTGAAAAATACCCAAGGCTATATATAGTCCATGGTTTTTTCCGAAAAATGGCTCTGAAATCACCCCCAATTTTTATTAAATTTTCTGATACATATTGACGTCCTTATGCTGTGTAGAAAGTTTGAGTCGATTCCGATAAAAAATTTTCAAGTTATGATCATTTTTAAAAATAGGCCATTTTTAAAAAAATACCCAAGACTATAGCCCATGGTTTTTTCCAAAAAATGGCTCCGAAATCACACCCAATTTTTATTAAATTTTCTGATACATATTGATGTCCTTATGCTATGTAGCAAGTTTGAGTCAATTCTGATGAGAAATTTTTGAGTTTTGAGCACTTTTTATAATAATGTTCTCTATTTTATTGCAGGCTCAAGGCTGACGTATTTTGCTAATCAGGTCAGTAGATTTGCTGACCTCTACAGCTCCTCGTGTGTGAACCTGGTAAACTATCCAGACCATTATCTATTCAGTTCCCCACACCAACTGGTAAATCCAACCCACACACACACACACACAGTTTCACTTAAAAAGAGAATTTTATCGAGTTCTCAACAAGTTCCAAAATACAGAACTAAGCAATACTAATGTCACATGATTACAGCAGGACTAAAATTAGCCACACACACACACACACACACACACACACACACACACACACACACACAAACACACCATGAATTTATATGTAGGGTAACAGTGTATAGTATATAATAATGTATTTACAATGCGGTATATATGTGATAATGATAAATTGTGACTCCATTCTAATTCCAATGGATTTATATGTACAGTATAACACACATAATGTAATGTAGTGTAGCCTCATTATTGCAGTCATCTACTGACTATTATTGCTAGATGGCTCATGAAACTGCTTCCACTGAAGAAGAGGATTCCTCAGTCTCTCCCAAGTTGTTAGGCAGTGGCTTCAATCACAAGAAGAAAAGGAATATTAAGAGAAATGTTAGTGCTACAGTTGGACTGGATCTTGATATTGAGGATGATGATATAGGTCAGTGTTCTACCTCTTTATTGTATTGATGATAATAATAATAAATTAATAATAATAATAATTATTATTATTATAATAAATTAATAATATTAATTTTAACTTTGTTTTTTTAACTTGTTTTGCCCTGTTTGTTGAATAATAATAATAATAATAATAATAATAATAATAATAAATAATAATAATAATAATAAATAATAATAATAAATCACCTCTAGACTTTATCATGTCCTAACCCACTCAAATATATTATTTTATTAAAATTATTATTCTAACTTTTCTTTCATTCTTAAATTTCATATTTTTCTACATCTAAGTGTATGCATTTCAACCTGTTTTATTTCTAACTATTGTACTTTTATAATAATAATAATAAATTAATAATAATAATAATGGTTTTTTCTTTTTTCTGTAGATGGTTTTATTTCTAATGATAAAAATTAGCGTGTGACAGAATCTGATTAGAAAACTTCATCAATTATTATTATTATTAATTTCTCTGATCATAATTAATTTTAATCATCCCAATTGGCCAAGGCATTATTATTTTAATAAAAATTTTATCATTAGTAATTATTATTATTATTATTATTATTAATTAATTTTATTCCAATACTATTTGCAATGGGCAGGGCTCATTAATTAACAATCAAATTTTATTAACAACAAATAATCTCTTCCTTTTAAAAGATTGATACAACAACAACAAAGAGCTGTAAATAATAATAATAACAACAATAATAATGATAATAAGATGATGAGATGCAGCAAATAATGCTTTGAGTTAATAACAATAATAATAATAATAGTAATAACAATACAATTATTATATCTATACAAAAGGTAAAAATGTAGCTTAAGAATAAATGAATCTAATACGAATGATATACGAAGAGACAAAGAGAGAGAGAGAAAGAGGGGAAAAGAAAAAAAGATAAACTTGACGGTAACAACAACAACAACAATAATATGATCATGAGACAATAGCAGCGCTGCCTTGTTCCAAGCCGAGGCAATATGTTCATAACTAGCAAAAACTACTAAAAATATAACCAGAAAGAAAGAGAGAGAGAGAAATTTGAGGTATGACGATAGCAATATAAAGTACTTGTTGCTGATGCTACAACAATAATAATAATAATATCAATAATTAAATAATAATATCAATAATATATCAATAATAATCATAGAGACTGATGAGAAAATAACAAAGTTTTGGCGAAGAGAGTTAGTTATTACAGAGACAAAATTAAATACTTTTTTATATTGATAGGAAAAAACAGCAGACAAACTCTCGCACCTTTCTTTTAAACATGACAGCAATAAGAATAATAATAATAATAATAAATTAAAAGATAATTGTATGAGAATAAGAGGAAGAGGGAATTTTGAAAGGAAGACGAGGAGGATTACTCAACGCAAATAAAATCAAAAGATCTTATCTGTTTCTCCTTCAGGATTAGTTAAACGACAGGGCGTGGTGATGGATTGGGAAAGTGTGAAAAGAAGTTGATTGCGCGTGGGCGGTCTCCGTTCTCCTTGATGAAGCAGCGATGGTTTTGAGTCCCCGGGGCAGAATGGACCGAGATCCAGCAGTGCTCACAGTAGTAGCGAAGGCAGTGGATGTTACCACAAAAGAATGGAGCAAACTGTCCGTCACAATTGACACCACGACACTCGTCACATATTTGATCATCAAGGACGTATGGTTTGACTTCAACCTGCAGTAAGAGAAATAGTCAGGACTTTATAAAATTTCTTTAAAAATCTAATTTTCATCAGAATCAGTTCAAAATTGAAATGCAACATACATGTAAGAACATGTATACGCACCAAAAAAAAAATATATATATATATATATATATATATACTATATCCCAACTGAGTTTGACCCAAGAAAAACTGGAATAACTTTTTATAGGAATGTGGGATAAGGATAAAACTTTCACAGGTTCTTAGTCGCCCAATGCCATCACAGGATCTCAGGTCTTGGGTCTCTCAGCCCTTGGGAACCCTGAGAACTGGGTTCTCCCTATAAACCCAATGGCATACCAGAATGATGTTTTATGACAATTTATCTACGTCATAGTTTACATAAGAACATGTGGTCGAGCACCCAAAC